GTTTTTTACCATGTAACTTATAGATACTGATCATCGGTTTATACCAGCGTCTTCCTCCCGGACTTCGCAGATCGGTCTTTCAGTTTTAAATAAAGCTTTTATTATTATTATTATTATTATTATTATTATTATTATTATTAAAAATCTTCTTGTCCTTATTTATTCCAAATTGCACTCGAAATCATTTGATTACCTATACAAATAGCCAAACATTGCGCCTGTAATCAGCTATGGCGTGGGTAACCGACTTTACTTCGCTTTCACTGTCAGTTCCACAGAGAGGTGCCAAAGATTATTGAAGTTATGTCAGGGGAAGTGGTTGGCGTATGATATCTCCCCGGTGGTAGAAGTTTTAAAAATAACCTGGTGTGAATAGAAATTAATCGTTCCTGTCCTTTGAGGCTTACAGTCGTTTCTTTAGAAAGGTTTATCCGATTAATTTTTTCCTGGCTGTGGGAGAATTGACTTCAAGCAAGAAAAATCCTATTAATTCTGATATTTACAGGGGAAAAAAAAACATTTTAGCTTACTTTCACCTTCAGAGGGCAGAGTTGACTCCAGTGTAGGTTTTACTCCCCTTTGGAGCTCTTCTTCTTGCTGATATTTGATGTCGTGAGCTTCCTCGCTCGTTGAACTTTCTGTTAAATACATAATTCCTTCCGGACCTTCCTGGATATCTTTAAAACCCATTCGCTCCACTCGTGTTTGGACACCTCTGACGTCTGACGTTCGACGTCGGCCTTTGACGTCTTGGGCTTTCTCTTGCACCTCGCTTTTTATTGTATGCGTTGTTCCTTCCAGCCCTGCCTTGATACGCGTTAAACTCAAGTGCTCCAATGTCTTTCGGGCTTCTTGAATTCTGGTTTCATTTTCCTCTTCCACCTTATCGTTGATGTCTTGGGCTTCCTCTTGTACTGGTCCCTCTGATAAATGTGCTGTTGTTTCGTCCTTTGGGACTTCTGTGGTACCTGGTGCTTGTTTTTGGTGTAATTCTGTTTGGCCTACGAATGCGCCGTGGACCTCTCCCTGGGGTTCCTGCGTAACCACGTTCTTCACTGAAGATCTTCCTCGTAAGTCAGGTCGTCCTGACGTGACTTCACTATTGATAAAGAGCCTAATGCGTGCTGCCGGCAAACAAAGTAAAGAAACAAACAAAAACAAACTTTAATCGCAATACATAAGATGTAATAACTAAAAACTAAAACTTCTGTAAATACTATCCATCTTCACTTCCCCATTCAACTACCATGAAGTTTCTTTACTTGGACCATTGGACAAGATTAAAATAACAAAACAATGCAATGTTTACTTTACGATTATCTCTAGCTGTAATACATACCAATATCGTAAAGTATGATGTATGACAGGTGGTATCTACAAGAGTAGTAAAGTTTTGTTTGTGTGATCTCGAGAAAACACTTCAAGTCATACTCTGTACACAATTTTAGCAAATGGACGAACAGAAGAACACTATTCTGATGAAAATGCCCCATTTAATACCAAAATGTGTCTTGAAGTTATGTTTTGAAGCCATGAAAGTTTTGGTTTTCTTTTTATCATTGTCAACAGGACTTTTTCTTAAGATCACACCCATTAGCAATTCGGAATAATTTTCGATTTTCAGTATAGGTATAAGTATAAGAGATTTTGAAAAACATTTTACAGCATAGTTCAGCGCTAGAACGTTCTTAAAAAACAAGAAAACTCTTAACATTTAAAAGCTGTTTAAAGTAATTGACGACACTTCGATGTTACTTCACATCATATTCTCAAACTCATTAATAATTCATAAAGTGGCCAGCCAATAAATATCACCCATTTGCGTCAGGTGGATGGATCTTGATACCCAATGAAACACCAGATCAAGATCTTTAGAGTTTTGGTCTTAGTTCAAAACCGTGTTTGATCTCAGATCAAACACTTGCATTTTAATGACTTTTTCAACAATTCATTACATTTCAGTACAACGATATCTTGCTCTTCAAATGTAAACCTTCTCGCGTACCATCTTTCAGTTCTGCTTCCAGTGCTCGACGAAACAGGATAAACCTTTAAAAAAAAATAGCACGAGCATTCAAATGATAAACCGATTTTTTTAGAGCCACAAGTTCATTTTAATTTTAGAAATGTTGAACATCTTACCTTTTGTCGCAATTATCGGGCGGATTTAATCCTTCACCTCCGTTCTTCTCTTCAAGGTAGCGTCGGATTCCGCATACGATGCCATACACAGTGTTTGGAGGTACCTTTCTCCACTCTTTTTCGCTACTTCCATGACAAATTTGTTCAGCCAATAATTCCAACACAATGCATCCATATCTTCGATTCGAGTTGACAGTACTCCAACCAGATCATAATCTTTAAACATGCCTCCGCAATCCAATACAGGCATTTGAACCTTTCGCGCAGTTTGCCATTCGTTAAAAATGGTTACAGCCCATTTGTTCTTATACTTCGTGGAGGTAGGAATAGCTTTATCGACTAGATCTTCTTCTTCCACAACAGTTTTGGGATCCCTAAACCGAAACGCTTCGGCTTCGCACATGTTGTAATACCAACTGGCGAAATGCAACAATTTATGCATACGGCAGCATTTTAAAAGAAAAATGCCAAACACTGAATAAATCGGTATTGTTTCATCTGAGAAGTCATATCAAAAACGAGTGCGAATGTTTCATCAGGGGTTCCAAACACCTCGAAACAACAAAAGCACTCGGCCTCGTGCTTTCATCTGTTTCTCGGTGTTTGGAACCCCTGATGAAACACTCGCACTCGTTTTTGATATATTACGTCAAAAGTACTGAGGAATGACAACTAGAAGCATATAAGATAATAAAACAGATAAAATTATATGCCCCTATGGGTTTGACTCCCGAAGGTCAAATTAACTAGAAGAAATAGAAGCAATAATATAATCACTGTTAGGTTTCGCGCAAATCAAACCTTAATTTCTAGAGCCACGTCGACAACAGGTACAAAAGGAGAATGATCAACACAGTCGTTGATCGTGCATACTGCCTCTATTTGACCAAGGGGGCTTTTTCCTCCTAATGGATCAAGCTGAGCGCCATGTTATCATAGTTGCACTCTTCCAAAGAAATGGTCGACTCTACCAAGCAGAAATTTAGCCAGGGACAGAAAGAGCGCGACACAACATTACCTTTTGAACACTCAAACTGAGGAGACTCGTGCGAAACTTTTTACTTGACACTTAACTAACTCTGATTCTCTCAAGCCGTAACAGCAAAATTCAGCGTTGAATTAAGAACTGACCACAAGAGTTACTGTGAAAACATAATCAAAAATTAGATTCAAAGTAGCTCTGGATTAAACCTAAAAACCCCAAAAAATTGCTGACTGGAAGAAGCCGGCCGATATCGCTTCCCACTTGGACTTCGAGAGGTTCTGATTGCTATACCAAGCCGTAGAAGCGAAACACGCCGTCGAAATGAGAACTGACCGAGAGAGTTACTCTGAAATGGTTAAAATCATAGCTCTGAATCAAAATTAATTTATTTCATCCAGCAACAAAACAAATAACCGATTTGAAGAAGCCAGTCGATTTCGAGTAGCTTGCCTCTTTTAGAGTTGCAACTCGAATGTTAATGTTGTTAAGGAAAAAATTAAAGACCTTGGCATAACGATCTTTGCGTTTCCGCCTCTTTGAGCTGGCTAATACATGTACAGTCATTTTTACTTCGTTGTGGAAGATAAACTAAGTGTAGGCATGGCACACTAACAAAAAAGTCAAAACCTGAAAAAATAGCTAGATAATTTATTTTAGCGAGCCCCTACCTCCTCGTAAGCCACCAACTGAGGAACCGAGCTTGCCTGTGGGCTGATGTACGTCTCCTTGCTGATCTTTGACCTGGAATTTTTCTTGATCCGCGGTCTCTGCTATATGTTTTGTTTCTTCTACCCCTTCCTCGACAACTTTCAAACTAGAACGCTGCACTCCTTGGACTCCTCGAGTCTTGGCTATCAAGTCCTTTCTCAGCAAATCTCTAAGGCGTTGGCCTAACTCTCGAAGTATTGTCTCCAAGGAACAGACTTCAGTTGTGGTGGCCAGCACCGGCATAAACTCTTCCATAGCTTCAGTATCGTTCTCATACCACTGGAGCAGTTCTTCTGTATTTTTCACTTCTTGAACTATCAGTGGATCCTTTCTAAGTTTATGAATGAGCTTTTGCCATTCAGTTCTCTTTTCAGGGCCAATGTATGCTGCAATTCGCAACAGAGAGTCACTGATCTCTTCCGAAAGAGATACAAACTCATCATACGTCACGCTTTGTTTCGAGTAAACGAGTAGGTTACGATAATATTTAATTCTCACCAAATCTGCAGCTAAACTGTGGTCTGCATTAGTTGGCCGCGCAACCCAGCCTGTCGCAGGAGGGGTAAGGTTACATATGGCGCTGAGCAACTTTAAGAGCAGAGAAATATCAAAGTCTGCTGATTTGCCGCACACCCCTGGGGAAGGATATAGACAGTGCCACTCTGGCGTGGTGAGATTTGCTCCTTCGAGCCTCTCCACTATTGACTGATCTTGCAACATTTGGTTAAGATAATATGGTGGGCATTTGATGTCAAAAATCTCTCTTAGTAAGGTTTTGCCTCCAAATATTAAGAGTCGAGAGATTCGTTGAAAATGTGCTTTTCCGGTTGGTGAACGAGACATTTTACTGTAGCGGAATCGCTGAAAGTACAACACCACTTGTCCCCAGTACTCTGAACTTTGGAAATGGATTAACAGTCAGGCTCAATATTCAGATTTCCAAATTATCAGACATCTGCAAAAAAAGGCGATGTTAATATCTTGGAACGGTCAAAGACTAAATTGCGAATGAAAACCCTCTTTGAATGGCGTGGAGCATTTAGTGAACAAGAGTAGAAAGAAAACTGCAGGGAGAATCGTGGTGGCGAAACGTTATCTCTTTTATCAGGTTAGTGAGCAACAAATCTTGTTTGTATACATTTTTGTGAGATTATGCAATATTATTGCATAATTTCATATGGTCACCGGCCCGCGTTGAAGGTTTAAGGATTTTATATTTGAGAATCTCTCCCCCGATGAGAGTTAATAGTTCATGAAGGTAGTGAAAACCCGCCCGATGAGAGTTAATAGTTAATGAAGATAGTGAAAACTCGAGACGGTGAAATCGGATTGTCGCATTTACAAAGCGGCAGACAACATGATATTTGAAATGTAAACCGGCTTCACCGCTCGTGCCGGCGGCCTTCGGCCGCCGAAGCGAAGCGAAGTATTTCCGTCCCCCGTGCGCGAGAAAAAACCTCTGGTACCCAGGGTACCTTTGCTTCTAGTCAACTCTAGTCAACTCCCTTCTAAACGGCTAAAACAGACCCAGGAACACAGGTAAATAAAATTGCCTTTATTTTGTAAAGGATTATGTTATTGCTTATAGTGTTCGGGTCCCCTGTACTTTGGGCGAGCGAGAAGATTTTCATGAACACAAATCGAATGGGAGCTTTAAAGCTGCCTACAGGCCAAAATTTAAGCGTGTTCTTTTGTTTTTTTAAGCGGTGATGCGGTGAATAAAATCCCAACTTGCGATGTTGCGGTGATCTCAAACCATTCGGTGTGCGCTGTATGTGTTTCCACGCTACGGTGTTCGGTAAAATAAAGTTATTTGCGGTGCTGTGGTTTCTTGTGGCTTCTCTCAGATCTAAATTTAGCATCCAAACTTCGTTAATCCGTGATAATTTATGACAATCACGTACCATTGTTTTTAACTAAATATAGGCCAACACTGTCTAGTTAAACGTCAATACGCTTCAGCTGCCAATCCGAAGCTATTTTCATTAATACACAACTTGACAACTAACTTTACCTCTGCCACGATGCACCCGAGCTAGACCGAATTTATTATTGACTGCGTAACTTTTCAGCTGACTGTGATGTGTTCATTTCCTGGAAAATTGTTAACGCCGCCCGAGACAATTGAAAGTTAACCAAGGTAAAAGTTCGATTTTACCCTGTGATCAACCATGGTTTAGGTCGGTAACCAAGGTTGAGATGACAGATATATCAAGTCCACTTGCGGTCGCATGGTATCTCGCACACCGTGGTGTCCAGATTGCGTCAATCTCATTTGACCGCGTTTTCGACGTTTGTTTTCATGGCTAGACTGTTCACAGTCCCCTATTTTCCCGTGAGATCGTAGATGTCGATCGTTGAGCTCGACGGGCCGCCATCTTGATCTCTTGATGCGAGCAAAACT